TAACCACGCCCCCGTCCAGGCCACGCCCCGTCCAGGCCACGCCCCTTCCGCTTTTTTCATCACTCGCCATTGCCATGTATGGTGACTTCTGATTTCAAATTACTAAGTATGAATTGAATTGTTTTTGACTGGGCAGTGTAAGTTCAACTCTGAGATCGAGGATGGGGGTATAAAGTTTTGTTTTCTGTCACCAATATCTTTGTCTCTCCTGCATCAGTTTTAATCCATGTAGACCAGTGATTCTTAACCTGGACTCGATCGAACACCAGGGGTTCGGTGAATCAGTCTCAGGGGTTCGACGCAGCTTCTGCCATGGAGGTTGAGACACACCCGACTCAACATGTCAATAGTTCTGACACGCCTGCTTGGCCACCACTGGCTGCAGATGATCACATTACATTGCTTGTCCAATCAGTGCTGCGGGAAATTTAGTTCGCTCAGTAGTCAACGTGTGACTGTCGTGAAAGCAAGTCGAATGTTTTAATACATTCTAACGAACGATGTCGAGCAAAAAAAACCAAAGTGGTCGGACGAATACCACACGGATTCACATGCATCACAGAACGTGATGGGACTCAGCATCCTATCTGCATAATTTGTCATGCCAAGTTGAGCAAACTCTATTCTCGCAGCGGCAAAACTGAAGGAAGACTTCTTGAATCAGATTTTTATTTTTCAGTAATGAAGGGTTCGGTGAACGTGCATATGAATTGGTTGGGTTCGGTACTGAAGTAATCACTTATATATGTTATAAGTTTAGCTTAAAACTATGTATCGCAGACAGACAGACTTTGACTACAAACCTCACTCTGAGCCTTGCAATATGACCGCCAGTTGAACCTTATGAGGTGACTTTAATTTGAACTGCCTTGGCAACAGAAAATACTGTTAACACCTTTCGTGAACATAGACCACACAAGTACGTAGGCGCGTTTGGTGGCTAGACTGTAGTTTTGCACTTACAGCAGTTTTCCATCCAGAACATTAAGATAACTCCTGAGAAATGTAAACGCATCTATCATCATGTTTTATAAGAACACGATATCAGGAATACCGGAGCATGAAAATAATTAAAAAACCAAGGACACTCAAACTGACACACCGAAACCGAAAGGTGATGCCCATAACAGGAAAAGATAATACCCATAAGGAGATACGCCTCGCTTAGAAGATATAAGATTCGTGTAGGGAATTTGTTGGCAGCACATTTGTGTCTTGACCACAACACTTGTTTGTTTCACACTTGTGCCCTGAACGTTTAGTAAAACTTCTTGCAAGAACTTCTCCATTTCCAGCCTCCGATTTTCGCACCTCAACTAAGCCCGAATCAAACGAACACGCGGAGGACCTGAGGGGGGAAGCGGAGGACGGTGAAGGGATCCCGCCGTGTCCACGACAGCACGCTCCCCCGGCTTGCTCGCCTCCGACAGTACCTCAAACAAGGTTAAGAACCACTGATGTAGAATATGTGGCAAATGTACATTACAGACTTACAATGGAAACGGATTTGAAGCCCGCTAAAAACGGGAGCAATTCTATATTTTACTAAGTGAACCGATTGTAAGGTCCCACTTTCTTTTTCTGGTTTTGTATCTTTCCCTTAAAAACTTGAACTGACCTGATTTTTGGTTTTGTTTTGGATAAGCAAGTTTTTTCTCTGCAGCTCATCCATCTCCCTGTGGAGCTGCAAGTTCTCCTGTTGTAGCTGGAGACGCTCCTCCCTGATAAGGTCACAGTCCTTCTGGGCTGCAGCCAAGCTGCTGTGCAGATGATGCATTTCCTGCTGGCTGCGCGACAACTCTTCATTGCTGCTGCAGATGAGAGAAAAGGGCAACTGCTAACTTGAAGTCATGTCGCTTGAAACAAAGTGTAACAATTGAATTGAAAAAAAAACCCAACAACTGCCACTTACTCAATTTCAACCTTTTTCACTTTGCTTTGAGCATTTTGCAGAGTGACGCTCATGTCATTCCTTACCCTCTCTGCATTTAGGCACCTCTGGTGAAGGGCATTCATCTTTTCAAGGTCTTGTTCTGCCCGGTACTTTGTCACCTGAAATAAACACAAAAATGTCAAAAAAAAAAACTTGCCAAAGTACAAGCACAAAAGCTTTAAAAAAAAAAAAATCTTCCAACATGCGTTTCACGAAAAGCACCTTCTCCAGTTCCTTCTCAAGAGCTTTTTTCTCAAGCTTGCACCTTTCAATCTGAGACTCTTTAATTGCGCAATCCTGGAGACAGATAGAGCGGGTCACAACAAGAGAATGAGAACAGACCAGTCGAAACGTTCCACACCGACTGGAACACGAGATGAGTAGAAAGCAAGAGGGATCTCGAACGGTTTTACCATTTGCAAATGGGATAGCTCCTGTGCTCTTTGATGGAGTTCAACATTGCACTGCTCTCGCACATGATCTACCTGGTAAATATACAAGTTATAGTTATTATTAATGTTGTCTTAATGACTGAAATCAAATGATTCATCCTTATGCGACTCATATCGGCCAGCTGTCTTGAGGTTTGAAAAGGGCCTTTTCTCGACATCATGTTTCAGTTCCTTCTGCAGATGTTCAATATGATTTAAGGCCACCTCTGAATAGTCAAATGTTTTGTCGTTAGCCATCCGTGGGTGTTGTTAGCTTTTTCCGTTTTAGTCATTATCCTCTTGAATGACCTACAGTGAGAGGTGCAGCTAAGAGCTTTGAGAGTCTACGCCAAGGGTGTCCAACGCCAGTCCTCGAGGGCCCCATTTCAATCTGTTTTAGATATCTCCCTCCTCCAGACTACCCGATTCAAATGATCAGGATCGTTATCAGGCTTCTCAGAGCTTGCTGATGAGATGATCATTTGAATCAGGTATGTCGGAGGAGGGAGACATCTAAAACATGCAAGACCGAAGTTGGACTACCCTGGTTGAGGGCCCTGATCCAAATCTTATTGAAAGAGTGGAAGAAGGCACTCTTCAAACTTGAGACCGCGACAGAACTTTGCTGACAAGGAGCAGCATTTCAAAATATCCGTCGACCGCTGCAGAACTCTCATTGACAGTTACAAAAATAATACGATTCTGTTGTGCAACAAAATGTTACGTTGAAGGAACCAGCCCGGTTTCATGCTCTATTTTGATTTTAATGAAAGCAATGTCTGATTTTCATTACTATATTTTTTTTTAATCGTTGCAAGTTATGTCAGTGACCCTTGCAGATTTTTCTTTCTTGAACAAATAATACAACACAATTTTGTCCGCGAGTACCTCCTTCCTGGTGCGGACAGCAGCTTCCTGGATTAACTGTTGGATGGCTTTATCTTTATTCTCCAGATCCACTGTCTTCTGACGCTCTCTATTCAAAGCCTGAAAGGCAAAAAAAACCACACACACACACACACACACACACACACACACACACACACACACACACACACACACATACACACACAAAAATTACAAATGTTGCTTAAAAGAAGGGAAAACTTAAACTACTGTTGAAAACGGAAGTGTGTTCATAGAATAAACAAGGACATGTTGGGGTTCAAGAGTGACAAAGGCAGACCTTAACCACATTGTGCTTCTGAACTATCGAAGACTCTGCCACCTGCACACAGCACTGGACTTTGTTCAGAACCTCATGCGTGTCGTGCTCAAGGGGAGCACAATGGGCCTGGAGGGCGCTGAACTCTGGGTCCAAGACGGTTTGTTCCTCCAGCTCAGCTTTTAGTCTAGGCAGGTATCGACACAGGGAACCAATGTTAAAGCCCCCAGTGAATTAATCAATGTTCGGATGACTGAATCCAGAAGAGAGAAACCGGTATGAGGGGTTTTGTTGGGGATGCAGCAGTTTGTCACATGCTCACTTTGCTTCTTGCTGTCTGAGGTCTGACTGAAGCTGTTGCGGTTGATTTTCCTCATGGCACATAGCCTCTGCTACATCCTCCTCCTAAATGTTCAATAAAAAGTTGAGACAAATCACAACCAAGAACATAAGAATTGTAAACAACATTTCAGCCAAAAGATCAAACATTGTAGTACAACAATGTGGCTGGAAATTATTAATTTTCTTGAAAACAATTGTTGCATGTGCAGAAGTCTCGGGTTCCATTCTGGGTTCCGGCCTACCTGTGTGGAGTTTGCATGTTGTTCCCGTGCATGGATGAGCTTTCTTCGGGTACTCCGGTTTGTTCCCACATTTCAAAAACATGCCTGGTAAGTTAATTGGACACTCTGCAACATCGTCCTTTGTCCTCGTGATTGCGAGGATGGATGGTTGTTTGCGATTGGCTGGCAACCAGTTCAGGGTTTACCCCGCCCATTGCCCTAAGCAGTGGCGGACCCTGAGGGCCAGCAAGGCCTTCTCTGCTGGCCTAAACATTCTCAGAAAAGTAAATTTACTTTTCTGACTCAGAAAAGTAAATTTACTTTTCTGAGAATAACATAAATTTATTTTATTTTCATAAATATGTCAACAAAATTTCTGTATTCTTTACGTCATACTATTTCCACTTAGTTGAGTGTCTTTCAATGTTATTTTAAATAACATTGAAAGCCACTCGAAAAATAACTTATTTATTATGGTAGAGTTTTTAACCAATCATATTTCATCTAGCTTGTGTTGCCAGGTTAATTAAACTTGCTCGGGGCCTTCAGATTAAACAGAGCAGGCCCCTGTGCGCTGTAAATGAACGGGCACAGTCAGGTTTCGTGATCTGACTCGTCTGCGTACTGGGGCCAGCTAGAAGGCCAGCTCGAAGGCCTTACGTCGAGACTGGCCGTGCGTGTTCGGTGATTGGATTAGCGCCTTTTCTGTTTCCTGAGAATTG